TGATGCTGAAAGGTCTGCCTTGGATTCGTATTGAAATCATTCTACCATTTTTGAGATTGTATCCTAGTACGGCTTTTCCCACTCTTTTGTTGACTTTGAATGCTACTCCATTTCTTCTACAAGATTCTTGCCCGCAATAGTAGATATAATAATTGTCTGAATGGAATTTGCCCATTCCCATCCATTTTAGTTCACTGACGCCCAGGATGTCAATGTTTATTCTTACCATCTCCTGTTTGACCACATCCAGCTTACCAAGGTTCACAGAGCTTACATTCCAGACTCCTATGCAGTATTTTTCTTTGTAGCATTGGACTTTCCTTTCACTTCCAGGCGTGACCGCAGCTGAGCCATGACCGCAGCTGAGCGTCCTTTCGGCTTTGGCCCAACCACTTCATTCGCTCTCGACATACTTGTCTTTGTCCTCTGCTCTTCCTCAGTAGCATGTTGGACACCTTCCGACCTGAGGGGCTCATCTTCCAGCATCATATCTTTTAGCCTTTTGTTTCTGTCCATGGAGTTTTCTTGGCAAAGATATTGGAGTGGCTTGCTGTTCCTGCTCCAGGTGGATCACGTTTAGTCAGAACTCTCTACTATGAGTTGTCCATCTTGGGTGTCCCTGCATTGGATAGCCCATAGCTTCTCCGAATTGCTCAAGCCTCTTCACTACAACAAGGCAGCTATCCATGAAGGGGAATAATGACCATACATGGTTGTAAAACAGAAATACCACTGCATTTAGTCCTGATGCAACCTGTTATTTAACACTACAGTTACCCAGCATAAAATTACGATGACTTGTGCTATTATGACTGTCTAACAGGTAATACTGAAATCATAATGTACTCGTTCATTACCATTGTCAGCCTGGTCCAAGAACGGCATCTTTGGTGAAAATAACCATACACTCCCCAGCCAATTTCTCCTACAAAGCAATGTCTGTGGCACCATGGGGGAAGATTATATGGTGCAGGTCTCCACAGGTATGCAGTATCACTAGTGCCTTCCACTGGTGAAGTTGTTGTTCCTACATATCGAGTATGATCTGGAAGCCTTGTCTGGTAATCACCGGTACCATCTGGACCTTGAGTATAGAAAGTATTTAAAAAAAACATTTATTAATTATTTTATTTAATTATTTAAAATATTTTACCCCACCTTCTTAAAAAGGAATTAAGGTGGCTTACAACATAAAAAAATATTAAGAAACCAAAAACAGTAAGTAAACAAATATTTTAAAAGAATTAAACAAATACTATATTTTAAAATGTTAATAAAACCAATACTAAAAATGTATTTGAAAGCAATAAAGCACAACAATCTATTTAAAAAACCTCTCTCAGACAGTAATTCACTAAGGGAAAAGCTGCCTGTAGGGAAAGATTTTTGTCTGTTTGCAGAAGGGCAGCAAAGATGGGGCCAGCCTGGCATCCCATGGGAGGGAGTTTCAGAGTCTCATGACCCCACCAAACACACCTGTGAAGGCGGTGGGACCAAGGGAAAGGCCTCCCCTAATAATCTTAACACCCAGGCCGGCTTATAAAGGGAGACAGTCTTTGAGATAGTTTGGACTCGAGCTATTTAGGGCTTTTATAGATTATATAAATATTGAAGCAAAGATAGGGGCATATGTACGTTTTGCTATATCATGCTACACTGACCTCAGTCTCTTGTTTTGGTGTAACATTAACTTCTTACATTCAGTCTTTGCGTAGTCCATGATGCTTAAGCCTTTTGTATCTCTTTGCACATTTACTCAAGTGCATACCTGTGTAAGTGTGCTCATATAATACCTGTGCAGAGGTATTAGGAAAGTTTGAACAACAGCAATATAAAGTAATATAAAATATGAGCTAGTTGACCACTCATTTTTCATCTGCCACTATTCAGTATCATTGTTTTGAGCCATCTGTTTTAATAGTTCATTGTTAGTAGTTTTTAGCAGTTTTATTTTTATTTCTGGTTTTGCGTTGTATTTAATGTAAACATCCAGAGTATTGCCTTGGCACTAATAGGAGTGATATGCAAATCAAAGGGAGGGATGTACTATGCAACCTGAAAATAAGTGGTAAGCAGCTTTTAAGGTTCCCATTAACTGTATATTACTGTTATGGTACTGAAGGTATTGTCTTGCCAAGCTCTCTAATATATTTATATTTATATATTTCAACTTCAACCCCATGTAAATTGTCACTCCATATAGAAATGAATTTGATGTGGGTTCAAAATTAGTTGAATCCAACTAATAATCCTAACTAAAGTAGATCCATTGACTCAATGAAACTTCAATCAACACCGACATAAATCCTGTTGATTTAGTTTGATGTGGCACTAGTAATTGGATGTGGCACTAGTAATTCTAGCTTAATGTGGCACTAGTAATTCTTCTTCAGATGGCTGTGTAGCCTGTAGAGGACACTGAAGTTCTCCAGCAACACTTGAGAAGAGCAAAGCCGGGGAAATGACCACTTAAAAAGAAAGAAGAAGGTTGCAGAAGGGAAGACGAAATGGGTGGGAACACAAATGAATTAGGGAATGAGCCACTCTTGCAGATGCTCTAGTTTTAGCCCCACGCTTTTTAGCACTAAGGTCCTTAAGCATAGGCACTTAGTCATTTAGCATTCACCTTTGCCATCTTGAGACATTTCTCTTAACTTCTCCCCTTTGCCCCTCCAAAAAGGTTCAAGGAATAAGATTCTATCAAAAAAGTATCTCTAATAATCTACAGAGTTTCCTTTCCTCTGTATTACAACCTGTTTTCTTTCCCCCCCTTTAAAACATAAATTGCCTTTTCCTCTGGAAAACTGTTTAGAGGAAGTATAAAGCATATTACTCCAGGAGGAAGGTTACAACAGGAAAATCTTCCATATGCTATTTATTATGGAGGGGGGGGGAGTGAATGAGTAGTTGGTTCACAACATCAAGAAAGGTTCCATACCGTCCAAGGACACAATTCAGCCTTCCTCCTACATGGTGCCCTCTAGATTTGCCAGAAGAAACCCCTCATCATTGAAAACTAACTTAAATTATATTACAAAACAAATATTAATCAAAACTCAAACTTATTTTAAAAACATTTTAAAATGTATAAATTTCGTAAGTTGAGTGTTCCCTAGACTCCTACTTATTGTTTAAAAGCCAGCCTGAAAAGAAAGGATATGGGGTGTGTGTGTGGGTGTCAATCTGACTTTCAGGGCAGCACAACGGCATTGGTCCCACAGTTCTCGCTCTTGCTCTCTGTATGCATGCAATGGAGCAATATCTGTGCAGTTACAAAAGCTGCTGTAACAGGGCTTAGAGTTTTTGTATGCACCAGTGGATGTCACCTGCCCATTTATCAGGTTCTGTAATTGCTACCCTTCCATGTTCATTTGATAGTGCAAGCAGCAAACAGCTATTTATAGGACATGATGTAAAGCTACAAAATGCCACGCTTCATACAGTGTTACAGCTGAGTGTCTCTCACGTCTCACTTTGGATCATCTGTGTGATGAATGCAATTGCTTTGGAAGCCATCCATTTAAGCAGTGATGGAATGGCAGTAGTTACCTGTAAATATAATTCTTTTCCCTGTATCTATTGGCGGGATGCTGGGTCTGGAAGACAAATGGGATCCTTTTGCCATGTCCTTGGCAGCCTGGCTATAGACTGCGGTGTCACCAGTCAGTTAATCCTTAGCAGGCTTGTGCCTGTTCTGAGCACTGCGGCAGCTGTTGTTGCTGGCTGTCGCTCTAAACAGCTCAGACAGGAAGACTTGTAAGTAAGGCAGCTTTGGAGGACACTAGGCTATTAGGTGACATTTGCTGCATTGTGACATATTCTCCTTGTGACCTTGCTCACCAATAGGATTCCATTGGCCGGCTGCTCTCTGTCCTGCCATGCAGGAAAAGGTCTTGTCCCTCTGCAAATGGTTCTATACTCTGGGTTTAATTTCATGCACTTCATTTCAAAGGATATCAAATCAGTTCTTACGTCTTCTTCAAAGCTCAAAGGCGACTGGGCACACTTGTAACTTAACAAGACAGACAATTACAGGCTCATCCGTGTTCTGACTCTCTCTGGTGATAAAATAAAATCATTGCAGGTTCCACTATAAGGCAGGGTGAGGCAACTGCTTCAGGTAGCAAGTATAATGGAGTAGCCTTGCTCATTTTCTTTCATTGTGGGAAAAGAAAGTTATCATGGACCTATTAAACGATTCTGCTACCCCTCCCCTCAGATGCAGTGGAGGGCACTGACCCACCATCAGTGCTGACACTGGGTTCAATTGCTAGTCCAGTTTGCTCCCATATGTGGAAGGGGGTGGTAGATGCCAAATTGTCCTGTGCTTCCCTTGGATGTGTATTGTCTTCTTTTGCTGGTTCAGGCAGAAAAACATATGTGGCTCTGATGAAGTAAAATACTTCAAGGGCACAACAAAATTTTTATCTTTGATCATTCCTTCATGAGGTTTTTGACCAGTTTAGATATCAGTATATCGAGGTCTGTCGCAAAGCAGCAAGGGAACAAAAAACATTCTTTACCGATTAGCCACCGTTGGCTGTTCAAAAGTGAACAAAACATTTGTCCTTCATTGGTTTCATGGCAGTCTTTACCTTCTACCTTCCATCATGGGACTTCCTTTACAGCTGCCCGTTGAATGTAGGAAAAGGGCACAGTCCAAATGAACTTTCAAGTCAATCTTGATGCCATGATACCATGGATCAGACATGTGACTTTGTTATTCCTTTCCAAGTGCTGAACTTAGCACATTTGCAGGAATTTTTAAGGCTATGCCTCTTCTGAATTTGGGGCCTGCAGCAGCTGCTTCTTAGTCAGTTGAACTATCTTCCAAACTCTGAGCTTTAGGAGGCTGGCTGAAATGCACATTCCAGGCAGTCTGCCTCCTGTGCCGATCAGCTGATTGAAACAGGAATAGACGACTCTGAATGAAAATGACCTTTCTTGTCAGCAAGGGCGTGCAAGTGTTTGTACAAAGTGGCGATACTCTTGGCAGAAGTGCTTCTTTTCGATGAAATGGATTTGGCTTCTCTTTGGAGAATTACAATTACTTGAGTTGTTTTGCAAGCACCATTTAGCTGCAGGGCCAATTTTTATAACTACACTGTCATGAAGAATATGCAGCCTGAATGGATATCTGGATTGTGTTCACCTCACATGGAAGAAGAATGAATTTGTTTGATTATGCATTGAGATTACAACTCAACCAATATTTACCAGCTTGCTGCTCCACTCACTTTGAGCACGGTTGCAGAAGCATAGTAAACACGGCTTGAGTCTGTTTGTGTGTTTAAGACATATGCATGCTGTGGCTATGGTTGACAGTACAACTTAAATTAGAAAATGACAACAGTCAAATAAATAAGACATTGTGTGTAGGGGGAAATAAAATAAAAGAACAGTGGGATCATTTCTTAAATGGCCAGTGTTGAGCAGATTTGAAATTACAACTTAGTACAGAATACTAGTAATGTTGTCCATCCCAACTGTGCTGATGAGGGCATGAGTGTGCATGTGATATCTTTCATGCCATGCCCTGGAGAGAGAGAAAAAAAAGGATGGGCTACCTACAAAAGCTAGCATGTTGGGTGCAGAGGAGCTGGAATAAAGCTGTGTAAACCATGAACTCTGTTTCCTAAAACCTACGCCAAAGGTTTGTAGCAGTTTTCTAGGCTTTTGCAGAAGACTTGGAGTTTCTTGCACAGAACAGGGCCATGAAAAGGACATGAAAAAGGAGCTCAGGAGGACTTCTGCTACAAAACTCGGGAGGGGTTTGCACTATAAAGCTCCACAGAGTTATTATACAATTTTTGTACTGGTTTGAGTATTCACATGTGACAAAAAATAAATATATCATTATAGGATAAATTAAAATTGAACAATCAGGATTAAAATTAGCAGAAGCAAGCTTGATTATTGTTTAATATTTCTTATTTGGGTCACTGTTAATGATAACAACAGCAGCAATGAAAAGGAAGCTGCAATGGTGTTTTTTGGGTATCATAGTTCTTTGGAGATGCCCTCTATACAGCCCAAAGGGCACTGAGACTGCAACTCCCAGAAAGCACTATGGCACCTCCAGTTTTGTACATTAACAATGGGAAGTAGGCCTGAGACTGTGCATGGAGCCTCCAACAGAATCGGGTCAGGGTGAGAGAAATATAGCTTTTTGTTTGAATGTAAGTGGGGGGGTCTGTGGACTGGAACTCCCAAAACTCTGCCCAAGGAATTTTTGGTGAATTCTGCTAGTTGGAGTTCAAAAACAAACAAACAAACGAACAAACAAGGCGCACCCCTAGTCAACACAACTCTTAAATGGAGATGACAGGTGACATTTGTGATTATTGGCTGAGTCATGGCAGCTATAGAATGTGTGATCTGAAGGACTTTTTACAATGTGCCAGAAAGAGGTGCCAACTTCTGACGCAGCTCTTGTAGTCACCCCTTGTATAGTAGTCCAATCTGCAGAAATCAGGACAAGACATTGTCTGGTTTCATGCAGTAAAAGGCTTCATATGCTGATCTCTTCCTATCAAACTCCTTTTTAATAGATAGGAAAAGAATCAGTTAGTCCTCCCCTCCCTAGAAATGGGCAATCCTACTGCCAAGAACCATGTACCAAACAAATCCTAAAATATATACAGTTTTGCTGGAACCTTTCACAGCTGACTGAAAATTGAGATTTAAAGAACTCTCGCTTGGTGACGAAAGAACGACCCAAATAATAGACTTATGCTTTCCCTACTAGTGCCCAAGCATTTCTCTTGTTCCAAGATCTATTATTTCTGCCCATGGATGATTTATCCCATTCTTTAATTATCATCCTTCTGCTTAATTCCTCAGGGTGCTTTGCTGTTAATTGCATTGTTCTCCAGCTTGCAGTAATTAAACAGCACTGAAGTATAATGCGAGGTTCCCTATTCCTCTTGTGTGCCTGATGATGTTATTAAAGCTGAGGTAGGTAAGCACAACTTAAAATCCCCTATCCCACTGAAGCTGGATAAAAGGGATATGGTTGTCTTGACTGCATCATAACTGGCAATCCTTTTTTGTGGGGTAGGATTGATTCTAGGTTCATCAGGAATTCCAAGTGCCTCCTATCAGAGGTCATTTGGGGTGCAGCAATCTGACGGTTTTACTTTCTCCACCAATCATTTGTTTTGAAATCTGTCCCAGGTATGTGATTTGAGGATTTTGGAAAATTGTTCAAAATAAATTGAAATTAAATTGTTCTCCTCCTCTGTCCAAATTCACTAGATAAAGAAGTTCCAAGCACCATCAGGACCTCTCCGCCATGTACTTATTAAAGGTGAGGAGAAAAAAGAGGTGGCAACCATGATTTAGCACTAACATGGCTGAGTACAAACGATTCAAAACTGAGACATTTAAGAGCAAAACACCCAAGCCATGGGCCTGAAGGCTCTAATGTCCATCCGGGGTTCTCCAGTGTTCAGTCTTTTCCCCTTTCAAATTCCTTCCATTCTGAATAAGAAGACATTTATGAATTTCAGAACTATGCATGAAAAATGACCTGAAACAAAATTCTCTCCCATGCCAACTCAAGAAAAAGACCCCACTAGTTGCTTGTATTTGTCGCAACATTAGTCAAGGGATGGTGATTTGAGCCAAGAATCTAGATGAAGGTGAGGGCATGTCAGTCATTATTTGTTTGAAAGGTGGGGAGAGTATAGATGAGGTGACCTTCCCTGACTACAATGTAGGTTATACTTTTTCACTGTCAAGCCTCTCAGGAGGAGGCTCAGATTCTGTAACTCATGATTCCAGGTCACAACATCCTGCCAGCTTCTTCTCTTCCCATGACTTTCAGTGCTACATGTATATCAATGTCATCCCTGCTCTCTGTCTCCCCAGAACCCCTTGTTTTAATCTCCCATTTCCAAATGCATCTTCCAATGTTTCACTTAGATGCTTCAGCTTTATCTTGAGCTTTGTATGTCCAAGAGGAATCTTCTAATCTGTTCATCCCACCACATTTCACCTCATTTTTATCCAACAAAAATTGATAATCCTTATCCATTAATATCACTGCCATCCACCCTCTTGAGTAGGCATACAGCCTTGACTTCATATTTGACTCCCTCTCTATGTTCTCTGTGTTCAGTTCATTGGGAAGTTATGCCATCTCTGCATTGGAAGGTTATGCACCTCTAAATTTGCAGCATTGCAAAATATGGCTTTTTCTATCTGGCCCCTTAGCAAAAACTCTGGATCATGCTCACAGCATCTCTTACCCAGTGTAGAATATTCTAATACTCGGTCTTCTCAAGATGGAATCATGGGAAATGGGTGAGGTGCCAGATGATTGGAAGAAGACTAATGTTGTCCCTATCAACAAAAATGGCAAAAAGGAAAAACCTAGAGACTACAGACCTGTCAGCCTGACATCAATCCCAGGGAAAATCTGGAATAGATTATAAAGCAGTCACTATGCAAACACCTAGAAAACAAAGTGGTAATAACTAGAAGCCAACACAGATTTGTCAAGAATAAATCATGCCAGACTAATCTGATATCATTTTTTAGTCAAATAACCTCCCTGATAGACAGAGGGAGAGCTGTAGACATAGTATATCTTGATTTCAGCAAATCTTTTGTCAACGTGGATATAACAACTGCCAGGTGGATACATAGTTGGCTACAGAATTGTACTCAGACACTGATGATTAATGGCTCCTTCTCAAACTGGGAAGAGGTAAAAAGTGGGGTACCCCAGGGCTCAGTCCTGGGTCCAGTGCTATTCAATATTTTAAATAATGACCTGGATCAGGATA